AAACACGTACATCAGTAGTCATCTGTCAGGAAGCATGGTAACATGCAACTTCAAGGCACTAAGGCGACCACTGAGACAAATCTCTAGAATAACTAGCCTTTCGTCCATTGATCTTCTAAGACATATTGTTGATTTAGTAGTCTCCCATAGCACTCGCATGCATGCGAATATCCTGCCTCTGTCCTGGTAACCACTGATTTATTGTCTGACACTCTCGCATTGTCTTTCACGAATCTCATCAGCTGGTTTAAGTGAGTCGGTGTTTTTGTCAGAATGGAACTGTGTCCATGATCTATGGCCCTAGCTTTTATTCTACGAAGTTCCGCTGACGTTAACTAACAGTGCTTCAGTTTGTTCCTGTGATATGGTCTTCTTCAAGTTTGTCTTTATTATCTTTGCTTCTTGATTCTGTACTGTTTTCTCCGATGATTCTACTCTTCAGTCATTCTATCTTTAGCTTTAAACGTCCAATTGCAGTGCTACTTTTTGATATGTATTCTGATTTTATGTTTTTCTAATTTTCTTTTTCTAAAACGTAGTTCTTTGCCGACCCCATTCAAGCAGTGAATCGTCATTCATTCATAAAAATCTCGCACGTTCACGTATGGCAACAATAAAAGGTCACGTTATTTTTTTTGTACGCAGGTCAGCGACACTCTGTTTCTTGACTAATTGACCACCAAAACACGGTGACTGAACTCAGCCTTGGCCACAACGGCTCGAATTAGTTCACACAGGATGTACCCCGAGGTACGTGAACGTCTTCACCTGTTCCATTGGCTGTTGATTTATTGCCGACCACAGCGTGCTGACAGCATTTCGTCCTAGACATGTTTACATACCTACCGATCACGTTCCACTTGGCTGCGAACCTTTTCGGAGGCCTCTGGAGATCAGTTTCAAAAGATGCCAATAAACAAGGTCATCTGCAAACAGCAGCCTTCTTGTCTCCGAATCTCCAACACCGATACACTCCTTGCCCTAGCTGCGCCTAACTATTCTATCCATGTACAACACAAACAGGAAAGGTGACAGAACGTCGCTTTGGTGAAGACCAGTGCCAGTACTGAAAGGTTTCGACTTAACGCCATTAACTCTGACACTGCGCCTGCTGTCATCGTACAGTGAGGACTGGCTCTAGCTGCTAGCTATCAATTCCATATATTTGCGACATGCCCACGGACTGTTGCGCGGCATTCGGTCATAGCCTTTCTCTGGATCTACAAGCAACGTGTTATCCGGATGAGCGAACTGTCATCATTTATCAACAGTCTGGTGTAACACGATGATCTTCAGTCTAACCTAAATCAAGCAGCTTTTTGTGTTTTAGACTTAATTATTCCGCGGCATGTTTTTTCTAAACCTTTTTCATAAATTTCCATTGGCTCAGTATGGTAATTCCCTGAATATCTGTGCACACTTCCTGAGCAGGAGGGCTACAGTCCCGGTTCT